AAAGTCGTGGGGCAGGTAAAGAAGGAATCTGATTAAGATAGGGCAACCAGAGAAAGCTTCAGAGAGACAGCAGACAATTGTGCAGAGGCCTGTAGGAGGGGAGGGAGGAAACTATGTGCAGTGTGCTGGACAGAGGGCGAACCTGGCACGAAAACTCCACAGGAGGTGGAATTTCTGGCCTATTCAAGAAGCAGCATGGGATCCTGTAAGAAGCAGAGTGAGTAAGAGCAGAGGGGTGGAGGTGAGCAGTAATGGGCACTCTGCCCTTCAGTTTGGGAGAGTTTGAGCAGAGGAACAACCTGAGCTGACTTATGTTTTAGAAAGATCCTTCTGGTTATTGTGTGGGTGTAGACTTTAGGGGAACAAGGGTTGAATTAAGGAGGCCAGCTACCCCAGGAAAGATGAGAAGGACCAGGACCAGAGTGGACCAAGGTAGTGAGACATGATGGTGATGTGAACCTCCTCTGATCTAAAGGAACCTGGGCATTGACATCCCTTCCTCCCAATCCCCACATGTCTAAAAAACACATGAAGCAGATTCTGCTCTACTGGCATGTACGTTTTAACACGTGAACTGTCCAGCCCTTCTTTTTCAGATGAGGGCATTTCACTTAAAGTACACCTATAATTGTTTGGAGACGTTGTCATTGAGTCTTCTAACTTGTTTTGTGAAATGCCTGACCTATGGCCATATTTCTAGCAAAGTTACCTTTTTTTCTTTTTTGACTTTTATTGTGAATTGAGTGAAAGTTTACGGAGCAGATCATCAGCTTTATGTGTAGCAAATCATACACTTTGCTTCATTACAATGATTGCACTTCCTGCCATGTACCATCAGTTCACAGTATTTATCTCTATTTCCTTTAACTATTACACTCTGCCCTCTGCTTCCTGTACCTTCATCTTTCCTCTGCCAACCTCCCTCTGGCTGTATATTGCCTGCCCTGCTACCCATGCGAACGTGTCTGTCCTCTAGCCCATGAAGAATTTTCCCTGCCCACTGCCCCCTGTAACCATCATAGAGTGTTTGACTCAGCAAGAAAATCTTTTCTTAACATTTTAAGAATATTATAGTCACTTATGATATTTTATGATTGACTAATTTCACTCAGCATAATGTCCTCCAGGTTCATCCATGTTATGAGGTGTTTTGCAGATCCCTTTTTTATTCCTCAAAGTTAGCACGGTTGTGTGGACCATCATCAATTTTCACAAATTATAATAATAATAACTCTTTTCTTGTAGGATTACGCCCATATATTGACGTGTGTTACGGAAAGAGAAAAGTTTATTGTGCCGATTAAAGCTCGAGGGGCACGAGCCATCTTGGATTTCCCTGACAAGCTGAATTTTTCCACTTGCCCTGTCAAATACAGCACTCAGAAGATTCTGCTGGTACGCAACATTGGCAGTAGAGAGGCTGTGTTTCACCTCAAAACGCGTAGGTATGCACTCCTCCACTTCTTGTTTTGGATTTATTATAGCTACATACAGTCAGCACAGGTAATTTGCTAGACTAGCAGTCTGGGTAGAATTGCAAGCTGTAATCTTCAGTTGCAGTGCTGGGAGACCTCATTGGCATAGAACAGACTGAGCATTCTCTATCCTAAGAGGAAATAGAACCCAGTGCTTGGTATCTTATGCCTCTTTCTAATTAAATTATCCTGCGGGGTTGAATAGAGGAAGACCCTCAGAAAGGTGAATTGACACAATGGCTGCACCTTGGCTGACACATAGTAATGGTTGTAAGGATGGCGCAGCCCCAGGCAGTGTTTCATTCTGTTGTATCCAGTGTTGCTATGGTCAGAACTGACTTGACGGTCCCTAACGACAACAAGAACACCCGATTGGGTAAGGATGCTTTTTAGAAATGCCAGATAAAAGTCCCACTGTTTAACGTAGAGAATGCCTGTAGTAATCTAATAATAAATGGGTTGTTTAGACCTAGAATTTTATAACTGGCTATTTTAGCTTTCTGAGGAGCTCTGGTAGCATAGTGGGTACAAATTGGGCTGCTAACCTCAAGGTCCGCTGTTTGAAACTACCAGCTCTTCTGCGGGAGAAAGATAAGGGTTTCTGCTCCTGTAAAGATTTATAGCCTCGGAAACCCTGTACAGGGTCTCTATGAGTCAGAACTGACTCCACGGCACACCACCACCACCAAAAACACCATATTAGCTTTCTAGTGCTTTTATAATTGTCACACACTTCAAAAAACAAAATACCAAATCCATTGCAGTCGAGTCAGTTCCTACTCACAGTGACCCTACAGGGCAGAGGAGAACTGCTCCATAGGGTTTCCAAGGCTGTGAAACACCAGCAGAGCAGCTGGTGAGTTCTAGGACTCCTTGCCACATAAGTTAGTAACTTAAAACACCACTAATATATTATCTTGGAGTCCTAGTGTGGTGCTGTAGGATAAGCCCTGGGCTGCTAACTGCAAGGCTTGCCGGTTCAAGCCTACCAGCAGCTCCTCGGAAACCAGGAAGTACAGGGTCATTATGAGTTGGAACTGACTCCATGGCACTAAACAAAAACAGAAATATACGATTGTACAGCTCAGTGTGTCAGAAGTCTCGCTAAGCTAAGGTCAAGTTGTTGACAGGGCTGCATTCCTTCCTGGAAGCTTGAAGGGAGAACGTTCTCTTGTCTTCTCAGAGGCTGCCTGCATTCCTTGGCTCACAGCCCCTTCTGTCTTCAAAGGCAGCAAGTTGGTCCAATCCTTCTCATATCACATCTTCTGATCTCTTCTTCTGCTTTTAAAGACCCCTTTGATTATATTCCACCATTCTTCTGGCAGTTTGATGATATTGGGCTACCCACAGAATCTCCCTAATCTAAAGTTAATTAATTAATTAGCAATTGAAATTCCATGTACAACTTTACTTCCTCTTTGCCAGGTAGCATAACACAGTCACAGGTTCTAGGGATTGGGAAGTAGACCATCAAGTCAGTTTCGACTCAGCAACTCTGTAGGATTTCTGAGGAGTGACCGGTGGGTTTGAACCGATGACCTTGCTGTTACTAGTCCAGTTACCAATAACCAGTTGCTATTCATTAATCCATTATTCTTCAAAATATCCCTATGAAGTAGCCACTATCAGTTTTTTCTATTTTGCTAATTAGAAAACTAAGAGACAGGTATATAACTTATGCAAAAAGCACATTGCTAGTAAGAATTGGTGCTGGATTTTAAGCTGAAATTTTATGGAGTAGCAACAACAACATGGAGCAATATAAAGAATGGAAAGACAACCCCTGATCTCAAGGAATTCTCTTATAAGGTGGTAAAGAATGATTCGGTATGGGGCATGAGAATGTTGGTTGATCAGTGAGATCTTAACAAGGACGACTAACTCAGGAAGACAGGAAGCAGGAAGCCAAGTCTTTTTCCGTGACTTTAAAAAAAAAATCATTTGTCTATCGATCTTACCCAAGGACATTGTAGACTCAAATCCAGCATACATTTTTTTTTTTTCTTTAAGTTTTTATTGTGGATTGAGTGTAAGTTTACAGGGCAGATCATCAGTTTTACATTCAACAAATCATACAAGTTGTTTCATCACAATGATAACATTCCCCTCCATGTACGATCAGTTAACAGTATTTCTTTAGCTCTTTAAAAACAACAAAAAAACATTCAGGCATATATAATAATTTACACCACCAAAGGGCACATTCTGCAAGTCTGCCTCCTGGCCACCAGCTCTTAGTCCCTCTCTTCCCATGAATCTAGAGTCCTCAGCTGCTCACCCCTCCATGTCCCCATCTCTGCCTCCATCTCTGGTGTCACTGCTTCTCTGGATAAGATACCACATTCTGTTTGTGCTTTTCTCCCTTGATGGTCCTAGGGTCCTTTGTTTCTGGATTATAAAATTAACTCCTCCCCCATTTTTGTTACAAAACTTCTACCTTTACACTTGTGACAGTCATGATAACAATTACTCACTATTGAATCATAATCTTATCCCCATCTAGACACGATGAAAACTGTTCAGTGGGAACTCTTTCTTCCCCCACACACTCTTAAATTAAGCTCCCTCTTGAAAACTTGTAAGCCAGTCACTTCGTGCCTTTATTGCCCCTTCATTTTAGGTAGCCAATGTCTAAGTTGCCCATCCCTATCTACCCTGTGTACAGAGGGAATAGCATTGATACTTGATGTGAAGACTCTTTCCCTCCTGTTGGTATTTAGAGTTACTACCTCTATGAGTAAGGAGCTCTGGTAGCGTAGTAGTTATGAATCGGGATGCGAACCGCAAGGTCAGCAGTTCAAAACTACCAGCTGTTCCACGGTAAAGATTTACAGCCTCGGAAACTCTGTATAGGGTCGCTATGAGTTGGAATCAACTCCATGGCACATCACCACCACCACCTCTATGAGTATAGGTCAGGTTCATCAAATTGTAGCAATTTACCCTTGTTTCCTTTATCAAAAATTGTTTTTTTTTGTGTTTTTTAAATCTTCCTCTAATTGAATTCTGATTATCAAGCCATCGAAGCTAGGTCAAATGGGTACAATCTGCAAGTTTGGGTGTTGCAGCATACATTTATTGATAAACGACTAGGTGCTAAGTTATATGCTAGGTACATTTATTACGTACCATCTCATTTATCTTTGGAATCCTGGTGTGGTGCTGTAGGATAAGCACTGGACTGCTAGCCTCAAGGTTGGTGGTTCAAGCCTACTAGCTGCTCCTTGGAAACCATATACAGACTTGTCCTGAGTTGGAACCAACTCGACAGCGCTTAACAACAACATTTATCTTTATAACTCTAATACACGAAATGGCAGCTATGATTTTTCTCCCTTCCTTTGATCGTCTTATGTACTTTGCCTTTATTTCTCTTTAGCACTTCTCACATAGATGTCATGTGTTTTATTCTAAGGAATGCCTTGCTTTGTTCCAAGTGCTATTCCATTAGGAGGGCAAGTCAAAAAGTATTTCCATTAGCATTCTAATTCATACATGCACAGGTGTATTCTAAATAGAATGTATTTAAACAAGTCTCTATCTGTAGTTATGGTGTTGAAGGAGAATATTAGAAGTACCATGAACTGCTAAAAGAAGAAACAAATTTGTATTGGAAGAAGTACAGCCAGAGTGCTCCTTGGAGGCCAGGATGACCATACTTCATCTCTCATACTTCACACATATTATCAGGAGGGACAGGTCGCTGGAGAAGGAGATCATGTTTGGTAAACTGGAGGGTCAGAGAAGAAGAGGAAGACCCCCAACAAGATGGATTGGCACACTGACAGCAGCAATGGTTCAAGTGTAACAACTATTGTGAGATTAGCCCAGGACGGGGCAGTGTTTCATTCTGTTGTGCATAGGGGCACTATGTGTTGGTACTGACTTGATGACACCTAACAACAACAGCAATGATCTATAGTTAGTAAAAGTGTACAGACATGTTATCTCAAGAGTACACTTATTTTAGGCTCATGAGGGTGCCTTCAAAAAAATAAAGGTTCAATCAAACAGTGACTTCCAAGAGGATCAGTTAAATCCAGAGCAGAGAGGTCAATTAAGAAGATTGTGGTGACTGTTTTGGGGATCTCAAAGGGATAATATTAATAGATATTCTCGAGGGACACTGGATGACCATTGGGACTTATTAGGAAGAAGTTTTAAGAAAACTGTTTTTAATGTTAAAGAAAAGGCCAGGAAAGTTTCACCAAGGAATTTTTCTCCCCGTGACAACAATGCACCTGATCATTCTTTGAGGGTAGCAAAGGCTGTCCTGTAAGAACTTCTTTGGGAATCCCCATCTGCCCTTCAGCCCGGAACTTGCCCCTTCCGACTTCTTTTGGTTACTAGAACTCAAAGAACATTTAAAAGAAACACAATTTGGGTCCCTCGAGGATGCCCAAACTGCAGTTTTGACCTGGTGTAAATCAAATAGCACACAATTCTTTGGGGAAGGATTGTTCTTGTTAGGTGCCATCGATTCAGTTCCAACCCATAGCAACCGTATGTACAGCAGAACAAAATATTGCCAGGTCTGGAGCCATCCTCACAGTTGTTATATTTGAGCCCTTTGTTGCTGCAGTGGGGTTCTTCTTCTTTTTCTGTTTTTTTTTTTGCTGACCCTCCACTTTACCAAGCATGACTTCCTCCTCCAGGGACTGGTGTCTCCTGAAAACAGGTCCAAAGAATGAGAGACAAAGTCTCGCCATCTTTGCTTCTGGCTGTACTTCTTCCAAGATTTGTTCTTCTGGCAGATCTTCCATGGTACTTTCAATATTCTTCATAATTCAGATGTATCAATTCTTCTACAGTCTTTGTTATTTGTTGTTCAACTTTAACATGCATAGGAGATGGTTGAAAATACCATGGCTTGACTCAGGTGACCCTCATCCTCAAACTGACGTCTTTGGCCTTGGACACGTTTAAGAGGACTTTGTTAGCAGATTCACCTAATGCATTATTTTGTTTGA